GGCGGGAGCGGCTGCAGTGGGGAGCGAGTGCGGCCGAGAGCCCAGCACTGCCCCAGGCCGAGCTGGACCAGCTCCATCCGTGCCCCTGTGGTGGGATGCTGTGGGACTGGGGGGGAAGAGGGAGCCGGCAGTGGGTGCTGGGCCTGGGGGCAGGAGGAGAAGGGAAGGGGAAGCAGGGTTGAAGAACAAAATGGTCAAATGGTGAACATGGGAGGAGAAGGTGGGATTGTGCAGAAGGAAGAATAGCAGGAGGAAGAGGAGTATGAGGAAGAGTAGGGACAGAGGAGGAGGAGCAGAAAGAGGCAGCACTACGAGGTTCCACGCCTCCCTGTATCTGCGGCCCCCACAGCCCCAGGAGTGTTGTCCCCCAACATGCAGCAGGTGACCGGGGAGAGGGGGATTCATGATTTTCACAGGACTGAATCTTGGTGGTTTTGAGCTTTATTAGGGTAAATGTTGGTGCTTTGGTTTTTTGCGGGTGCTGAATCTTTGTATTTTGGAGATTTTGTCTGAATCTTGATGTTTGGGGAGTTTTTGGTCTGTGTCTTGAGGTTTGGAGGGTTTTTGTGCTGAAAGTTGATGTTTTAGAGGTTCTTAGAGATACAAGATGCCCAATGACTTCCTGAGATGAACTTGGGCAAGGAGGAACCCCCAGCCCAAGGTGCTCTCCTCTTGTTTTTTCCCCCCAACCAGGGTCTTTCATTCCCGAGGAGTGATCGGATGGAGGATGAGAAGCCTTGGAGATGCCGCCTGAGGAGGGGCTGCAAACGAAGCCCAGGGAGCTGCAGGGAGGAAGGACCCCCCCCTGTGCCAGGATGGCGTCTGGAGATCCAGCCAGAGCTCAGAGCTGGGGGAGAAGGCTCAGGCCAGGGAGAACGGCAACAAGTGCTTGGAATGTGGGAAGGGTTTCAGCTGCATTTTCAATCTTACGGCGCCCCCCGAGATCCACACTGGGGAAAAGCCCTATGAGTGTGGGGAATGCGGGAAGAGCTTCAGCCAGAGCTCCCATCTGTGGCAGCACCAGAGGATCCACACTGGGGAACAGCCCTATGAGTGTGGGGAATGTGGGAAGAGCTTCAGCCAGAGCTCCCATCTGTGGCAGCACCAGAGGATCCACACTGGGGAAAAGCCCTATGAGTGTGGGGAATGTGGGAAGAGCTTCAGCCAGAGCTCCCATCTGTGGCAGCACCAGAGGATCCACACTGGGGAGAGGCCCTACACCTGCTTGGAATGTGGGAAAAGCTTCAGGCTGAGCTCCACCCTTAGATATCACCAGCTCATCCACACGGGGGAGAGGCCCTACAAGTGTCCCAAGTGTCAGAAGAGGTTTCAGACCAGCTCCACTCTCCTCAGACATGAGCAGATTCATACAGATGAGAGGCCCTTCTGCTGCCCTGACTGTGTATAGAGCTTCAACCGCATCTCCACCCTCATCAGGCACCAGCGCATCCACACCAGGGAGAGGCCCTATGAGTGTCCTCAGTGTGGGAAGAAATTTTCTAGGAGCTCAGCCTTGACCAAACACCAACGGAGGCACCAGTAAGGGAAGCCCTACAGGAAGTGTGGGAAGAGCTCCATGTGCTACTCCAGCTCCATCCCCCATGGGAGGATCGGTGTTTGATGATCCCCAGTGACCTCTGTTGGGCAGAGCCCTGGTGATTCGTGGTCCTGGTGATCGGTGTTGGGAAGACACCTGGCTGGGAAGCTCCACATCTTCCTGACTCCCTGTTGGCACCTGGATGAATGCAGAGGCAGGAATATCCATCAGAACACTGACCAAGAATGGGAATTCCTTGGGGAGAGCAGATTTGTTGATTTTTCAACCCCAGAAAAACTTTTTCATTCAATCCTATCTTCTAGTGGCATCAAGGAATACTGGATGGTCTTGGAGGACTTTTCCAACCTCAGTGATTCCACAGTTTTGATTTCCTGTTGCCCAAGGGTGTTTTCCTCAGCCAAATGGTGATGGATCGGGGCAAGGACTGAGATTTTGGAGACAGTGGGGTGGAAACCCCTCCAAAAAAGGTTCTTCCCTCCCACCCAAGCATGGGGATCCTCAGCCGGCACAGACACAGAATTCGTTTTCTTTTGGCCTTGATTTGTTTTTAATTTCTCTTCATCCTTTGAAAACACCTGAAACTGGGGTAAAAATAAAGACATTGAACTAAAGCATGGGTGGGGACATTGAGGGACATAGACATTGTGGGACATAGACATGGAGAATGGCATGGGGACACATGGACATGGATGTGGCCATTCATGGGGACATGGGGGGACACGGGCACAGATGGAGATGTGGGGGACAATGCCAGGGATGGAAACATGGTGGGGACACAGCCCTGGGTGAGGACCTGGTGGGACATGGCCAGTGACATGTGGGGACATGGCCATGGCCACTGCCGTGGGGGGAACTTGCAGGGGCTGTGAGGGATGCTTGGTTTGAGGGAGTTGAGGGTTCCTGGCAGGGACTTGGGGCTTGCTGAGGTCTTTGGGAAGCCCAGGCCGAGTGGCTGCGGCTGCGCTGGGAGCCCCTGGCGGAGGTTCTGGGGCAGCTGCTCAAGGACCCCCTGCCCTGGAGCCCCAGCCGGGCATTGGGCTCCTGGAAGGGAAGGAATGTCCTTGTCCCCAGGAGGGAAATTCCAGCACCCCCAGGGTGTGGGGGGCAGCTGAGAGGCCACAGCAGGGAGGGGAAAGCCAGGCAGAGTTCTCCCCCTCCAAAACTGCACCCCAAAAATCCCCAAACTCGGCGATTCCTCCCAGGAAAGAGCTGCCAGGAGGTGCCAGAATTGAGTGAAAGGGGGTATGGGATCCCTAGACTGAGGAGGAGAGGCCTGGAACCCCCAGACCCAAGCACTGGCAACAGGGCTGGGGACTGGGGGGATGATTGGAATGGGGCAAAAGAGTAGGGAAAAAGAGGGGGCTGGGACCCCCCAAACTGGGTTGGTAGGAGTCCCACTCCTCTTCCTTCTATATCCCTTCTCCTTGTCCTCTCTGGCCCTTCTCCCTTTCCTTCTTCCGCCCTCCTCCTCCTCCATCCCTTGTTTTGCTCCCCACCCGGGCCCAGCGTCCGCCCTTGGCCCCTCCTTTTCCCATCGCGGTCGCATCCCGCGGGAGGAGCCGGGATGGAGCCGGGCCAGGTCGGGCTGGGGCAGCGCTGGGCTCTTGGCCCGGACTGGGCGCACCCACGCGCTCCCTCCCCAAATTTCCCTGGCGGCCTCGGGGTATTCAGGTGCCTCCCAAGGACCCCCAGAGCTGCGTGTGGGGACACGGGGGGGACATACGTTCTGCCCCCGAATCACAGTCCCCCTGCAGGGTCTCCCCAAGTCCCTCCCCACTGCCCCACATAAACGGGACCGGGGAGAACTGGGAAGCTTTATATGGAATACGGGGAGCAGCGGGGCGGGGACAAAGTGACGGCGGGGCTGGGGGGACACACGACCCCCTCGAAAATCATCATGGAGACAGAGCAGGGGGCCCAGCTGGGCCCAAGGCCACGGGGAGCAGCGGCGGCTCAGGAGCTCTGTGGGCAGAGAAAAGGGGGTGACACCGAGCTGGGGACCCCGGGGGAAGCACACACACACCGAGGGAGGGGGGACACGGCCCCCAGGACCCTCCCCCCCAACCTTCTTGTGCAGGCAAAAGCTGAGCCCTAGCGGCACCAGGAACACAAAGCCCAACATGGAGCCCCCGATCCCCATGAGCTTCTTGCTGCAGCCAGGGTCCGGCAGCATCTCTGAGGGGTCTGCAGGGGTCACGACCCCCAAACCTCTCACAGACACTCCAAGCACCCTCCCAGTTGCCCCCAGCCTCCCCAGGATCTACTAAAGTCCCTCCTGTTCCTCTCAGGATCCCACAGCCCCCTCCCGGTTGCCCCCCCCTGCCCCAGGA